TATGGATCTCTCTGACATTGTATCACAAGGTTCCATATCACAAAGGGAATGCTGGGATTGATTTTGGGGGTAATTGCCTCCAAATTTTAGTAACTAGGGGCCAAAAAGGGGCAAAAAACAAGCATTTTTCTAGTTTCATGACAATAACTTGTGTGTAAGTGTATGGATCTTTATGAAATTGTACTACAAGGTTCCATATCACAAAGGGAAAGCTAGAATTGAGTTTGGGGGTAATTGCCCAAAAAGTTTAGGAATTTGGGGCCAAAAAGGGGCCAAAAATAAGCATTTTTCTAGTTTCCAGACAATAACTTGTGTTCAAATGTATGATTCTCTCTGAAACTGTACTGCAAGGTACCATACCAAAAAGGGAAGGCTGGGATTGATTTGGGGGGTAATTCCCTCAAAATTTTAGAAATTAGGGGCCATAAAAGGGCAAAAACAAGCATTTTTCTAGTTTCAGGACAATAACTTGTGTGTAAGTGTATAGATCTTTATGAAATTGTACTGCAAGGTTCCATATAACAAAGGGAAAGCTGGGTTTGAGTTTGGGGATAATTGCCCTAAACGTTCAGGAATTTGGGGCCAAAAAACAAGCATTTTTCTAGTTTCCAGACAATAACTTATGTTCAAGTGTATGGATCTCTCTGAAATTGTACTGCAAGGTACCATACCACAAAGGGAAAGCTGGGATTGAGTTTGGGAGTGATGAATCATAAGGGGGTTCAAAAAATTGGGGGGGATTTTTTTTTCCTTTTTTTTCTTTAAAATTTTCCATTTTAAATTGGTTATTTCTGATTTATATATAAAAGCAAATAATAATGATATGGTTTGAATAGGTAAATTAAAAATCTTTAAGTTCTTAGACCACTTTCATTCTGTGTGAGAAACCTATGCTGTGTCAAATATTTAATTACAATCCAAATTCAGTGCTGTATCAAGCTTGAATGTTGTGTCCATACTTGCCCCAACTGTTCAGGGTTCAACCTCTGCGGTCGTATCAAGCTGCGCCCCAGCGGAGCATTTTATTTTACTTGTTATTATGTCATGTATGTAGGAGTAAGTTAAAGATTTACAATGTGACTCAGACTCAACCCCCTAAGGATTCTTTCCTGCAGCTACCTTGTTTCACATTTCAATGTTGACATGAATTTGTTTTCTTTTGTTAATAACTAAACCCCTTTAGTTAAAGCATATATATAAATAAGAAGATGTGGTATGAATGCCAATGAGACATCACAATGTATAAAAGGTTAAAAATTATAGGTAAAAGTATGGCTTTAACACAGAGCATTAGCTCACACCCAACAGTGAGCTATAAAGGGCCCCAAAATAACCAGCCAGTGTAATACAATTCAAACATGAAAACCAACGGTCTAATCTATTCACAAAACGAGAAACGAGATACATCTATGAAACAAACCAACAAATGACAACCAATGAACACCAGGTTCCTGACTTATGTAATATATGCAGTGGGTTTGAACATTTCAACTGACGCAAACCTTCACCATAACCTGAGACAGTGTTGTAAAAATACGACATAAAAGGACACACTATAAAACATTAATTGAAAAAGGCTATAACCCATCCTGGTTGAGGTCAAATTGAAGTTCGCCTGAATAGGAATGCTAATGAGGTTGAATTATTCAATTGCAAGATAATAATTAGTCAGCGATTTATTCAAGATTATTTCAATATTCTACTCTCATTTACGTTTGAAACCAAACCTCTTATTTTGATTTTAGTCAACTTCACAGCCATGACAGCCTGACATTAGTGCCACTTTAAATTTTTTGTAAAAAGGAAGTTTTCAAAGTCCCTTTCAAAGGGAAAAATGATGAACCCTTACCCATATCAAGTTAAGACAAGAAATATTTGATGCAACCTGCATAATGTTTTTTACTTGTTCGAGTATTTTTTTTATCTTACTTCTGGGTCTTAAGTCAGGTAAGTATTGGAGTAAAAGATCTAAAATGTAAAATGTCGGGGTTACCAAATAGCCAAGTGTACCCAGATTGCCAACCCCCTTTTATTTTGTTACTGCAAATTCTGAAGGGAAATTTTCTTGTGGGGATGAGAGAAAAGTTAAGTGGCTTTAACAGACAAGAAAAAATGTTGTGCACTGAAGTCTTGTTTAGTCTATTCACTACCTGTGCGATTAGGGTTCCCCTCTGAAATCACAGATTCACACCACCTCTGAGTCGTTGCTGGCAGAAAATCAGTAAGGGTATATTTGCCATATGTATGCGTAAAAATACTTGTAATAAAATTGAGAATGGAAATGGGGAATGTGTCAAAGAGACAACAACCCGACCATAGAACAGACAACAGCAGAAGGTCACCAACAGGTCTTCAATGCAGCGACTTATTCCCGCACCCGGAGGCGTCCCTCAGCTGGCCCCTAAACAAATATATTTTTTTACTTAATCCAGTAATGTTTTTTTTACTTAATCCAGTAATGTTTTTTTACTTAATCCAGTAATGTTTTTTTTACTTAATCCAGTAATGTTTTTTTACTTAATCCAGTAATATTTTTTTACTTGATCAAGTAATGTATTTTTACCTAATCAAGTAATTTTTTTTTACTCAGTAAATAATTCTTAAATTCTCAATATAAGTTTTTCTTTCACGTGCATGATGTGTATGATTATTTTGTGGATCACCAAATGTTTACAAAAAGTTCCAAGACATCTAAATTATATTAATCGACAGCACAGAAATCATATGTAAAGGATAAAGGTGCAAAATTTCTGTTAAGTCCAATACAAACATGATCTGACAGAATAATACCAATAATACTTATTTTTAACATGATTATTAATTAATACCAGACCTACGTGCAATTATAATACAACTTTTAGCTATTTGTCCTCCTTTACTGGACATGTTACATTTTCCCGGAAAATTTTGACGTGAGAAGCATGACAAGAGAAAATGTCTGATGCCAAAAAAGAAACGTGATTGTTGTTTGACATCAATAGTTCGTGTCACAGATACTCGAATAGAAAAAGGTCTATATAACATCCTTATTTACTTTGTAAACAAAGGTGTGTTCTAATTTGCACAAAATATGTTTGACACACGCTCTTAAAAAAAATTAACAATTATATAATGCCTATACCAGTAAACCCATGTTTGAAATTCTTTCAATTGTGTAAGACTAGTTATTTACTTTGGTGAAATTATTTTATCCGAGTGACAAGTCTGGCCTTGGTGTCTCTATTACATGTTTTATAAACATTGAAAGTCCTTTTAAAAGTCAACATGATATAAATATATATTTAGGACGCTTTATACAGAAACATTTTATTTAAAACAAAATAAAATTCAGTCCTTTGCTGGGAATATGCGTTCTGTGGGAAATGAATAAATTCCACGATGATAAATATATCGCATTTACTCCCGGCATTTACTGGTATATTCACGAAATAGTTACAAGGCATCCAGAGTTATCTCCCTAAAATTCATGTTAATATTTTTTTTACGTATATACGTAAAAAAAAACTCGAAGGGTGGGTGACTAAAATTCACGTGCGCAATTACAAAACCTTCTTGCACAATTACAAATGCATCGGAAACTGTTGGTTCAGTAACTAAACTTTCATAGAAAAATATGACGATGTCCCTAAAAAATCCTCTTCCATTCGTAAAAATGCAAATAAAACATCACAAAATGACCCGATTTTAACCTTTCAAATCGATAAAAATCATAGTTCACTGACCTGTACCTGTTTCTTTTTCCTGAACAAGATGGATTCTGCGTAGATGGCGGTTTCCAAACATCCGGGTACTGCAGTTGATGACGATAAATGCGCGAAATTCAAAATTTTACCGATCGATCAAATTCACAATAAAAAAAATTTACGTGATTACGTTAATTTTTTTTTACTTATATAAGTACAAAAAATACACTTGTATAAGTAGTACCCCTGACTGATATTAGTTCAAATAATTATGACTTTTTAAAAGGCTAATAAATTGTTTTGCTGTGACGCATTCCTATGATGTAGAAAGACGCCACAGCAAAAAATAGATAAAGCCTTTCAAGAAATCATACAATTATTTGGACAATATGTTGTACTAGCAATAAAACTGTAGCTCTTAGGTCTTTATTATATATTTTGACAATTTGCAGACGATACATTTTTTTGTAGTTACTGGTTCCCGACCAATACCCTTTTTTTCTCATAGAAAATCCTAGACAGATAATTTTTATTGTTCTACAGACTACAGTCAGGGATATAACTGTATAGGGTTATTAGAGAAAAATAACATACATTTGTTATTGTGGACTAAAAAATCAAAGAACTGTGATAACATATGTATGTTATATGTTTCAAAGGGCCAAGCCACATCATTTGTTTTGTTAAAATATAAATTTACAAGTTCTATTGATATTATTTGTCTTTATGTATACTAAACTAAAGGGTGTTATTACAGCTTCTCTACATCACTTCAAAGCCTTTGCTCAGACATACATCATGCTTTATCACAATGTATTTTAATTTGATAATGATCAGAGCATGTAATGAGGTTCTGCGCAAGCTTCCTACTAATTCCCAAGTGTCTAATATAATAAGTTACATGCCTTTAATAACTAAGCCTTGTTATTACAGCTAAGTTTATCCCTAAAAAGCCTTGTCTCATTGACTTACCATGGTTGATGAAAAATGTATTAATTTAATTCGAAAATTAGTTATCAAGGCTATGTATTTAGTTTCTGCGCAAAGTCTTAAGAATTCTCAAGTGCCCACTAAAGTTTAAATATTTATGATTTATTTAACAAATAACAAACATATGTTACTGTAGATTTAGAAAATTTAAGGAATAAAGAGCAGACAACTCATGGAAGTATCTGTAATAACATATACAAGATATTTTCTCTAATAACCCTATAGAGTTACATATATATCCCTGACTGGACTACATGTATATATCCCAGAGTTTTTGAACTCAAAACAAAATTTATATCCTGTGGTCTATTTCTTTTATATGATTACCTTTCTGTTGATATTTTGTATATAAGGGCATGTGTTGCAAGCAAATCTGTAGCAATTCTGACCTTCCTCAACCACCAGAATATTCGCACACGTTGGGCAAAACAGCAACATATTTCGTTGTGAAAGAACAAAGTGAAACCGGAAACGACCTCATTACTACTTTCATTTTGTGCATAGCACTATAAAACGTTTACAATTTAACTTTCATAGAAATAAATTAACAATGTTCACATTGCTGCGTACGATAAAAATGTTTTAGATATTGTAAATAAACTCTAAAAAGCAATAATCCTGTCACATGACTTTACAAAATGGCTGCGCCCATGGACCAGTTGGATTTACTTGATAGGTGCTTTGTTAAGGTAAACGTCTTCCTAAGGCAAATTGAAAACAATTATTCGGCTTATCTGTATGAAGCAGGTGTAACCTCTCGAAGTGTATATAAGTACAAAAATGTATATTCAAGTATTTAAAGTATTTCTAATCTTAGTAATATAACCCCCAAAGGGTGACTGGGGAATAGAAGTATGGTCACCATTGGTCTTCCTCCGACCGGCAGTAAAACCCTTGCTAAAGTGGGGCGTCTGTTTGGCTGTGCGGGATGTACAAATTTGCAGCCACATCCGGTCAGAAAGGGGACGTAAAATCTGATGCCTTGTGTAAAGAGAGTGCCACGCTCTTTGCACGTTAAGAACCCTTGCAACATTTCTTTGAGGGGTCCGTAGGTGACCTGTTGCAAGGCTAAATTTCTGTCCCTATCCAATATACCCTAATTTCCAGTGGCAGTCTAAATTTCTCCGACCTTATTCCCGGACGCCCCTATTACAGAACCTACCTATTGTATTTACTGTTAATTTGTTCTCGTCCTGAATATGCATGAAATATTTGCCACTGGACGTTAAGCAACCAACAATCAATCAATCAATCTTAGAAATATAGTCAATGAATAATTTCATACATGTAAACAATACAATGTACAGTTACTTTCAGCAAATTATAGTTATCTCGTCACACATTGCAAACTCTTACCAAATGTCAACTAAAACCACTAAATTCAGACTCGTACCAGTAACAACTGGTCCACTGCTAATTCGTTCCATTGCAAAATCGTACCAACTTATTTAAAATGCACTCAATCTACGATCTACAACAGCTTTATTTAGATTCGGTATAGTTATGTAAAATATAGAGCTTTTAATTGAATACATACTGTATCGGAGAGCCTATGTTTTGTAATAGTATTACTTCCCTTTAAAATGGACTGTTGTGAAATTAACATTTGAGTATTACTGTTGATATAAATTATTGATACAAACATGACAAGTGTAGTGACTTTATTGCAAGACCCTCATGGGTAGTCAAGGTCGTTAAAAAAAAACCTCGTCGTACTAGGCTTTAACCAGAAATTAAGCCACTTGGTCTTTAGAGACCTGTCTGCTTCTGTCATTGTGTCTATATATATGAAGAAATGACAATTTTAGCTTTTAATGAAAAGCTTACTCAGGTCTTGTACAGACCTCACCGTTTACACCATAGAGAAAGGTGGCATTGTTTTGCATTTTAATTCATCTAGACAAAATGCCACTCTTATGTCTTGCATTATGATGCATCCAGACAAAGCTTAGAATGACAAATTGAATATTGTTACTTTTCTGTGAATTTTTACTTGCTGTACATTTGAATACTTTTATATTTTTAAAATTGTTGATATTTGTCAAATTATAATTTACTAATAATCTATGAAAACTTGCTAGTGTTAAGTTCTGCAAAGCCAAATATGAAGGATCAGAGACTCAAGTTCTAGGTTTGAACTTTTTATGCAGACAGGGGTAAACAGTTGAACAAAATTATGTCGACAATGACACAGAAAATACAAAACTCAAAAACCCCTCTTGTTACAATACAAAGTATATACAACCATATACAACAGTATAAAAAGCATAGAAAGTATAATGTGTGAAATGTTGAAAATATACTTAAATTTACAAGTCACAATGACCTTTTTGTAGCTGATTGTTCCTTGGTTAATTGGAGGAAGAAAAACAAAGAGTAAATTTGTTTTGATATGTTTTTTTTTGTATTTTGACTTGTAGGCTTGATAATGTTACAAAGAATAAGTTTAATTTTGATGTTTTATTGGTTACCATTTCATCAACATACTATCATGACTATTATTTAGCAAGTAATGTAAAAATAAAAAAACAGTTCAATTAATATGATTAAGTCTACTCTATGATACTGGTAATTAAGAGATTCAAGAAAATCAATAATTTTTTTATAAAGATTTGCAAAAACAATTCATAAAACATTTGAAGATTGTATATTTTTATTTTTATAAATCTCGATCTTTGTTTATTTATCCAATGTTTGTCTAACCAGTTTTTGAAGGCATTGATAGAAGTTTTAACGGGGCTTAGGTAATTTTATCTGTCTCTCCAAAAATATTGTTCCAAGTTTTGGCTATTCTACATGTAAAGAGAATGAGTGTTTTTCGGATATTTGGTTGAATACATGCATGTGACAATGTGGTGACTCCATTAGGACCAGTAAACAGTTCCTGTCACATGCATTGTGCTTGTCATGTTATTTGTGATACATGTTAGTATTTCTAATTTCCATGGCCTATAACACATTGGAAACATATTCAGTTGATCATAGTAAAAAAAGTACAGTATAACAAAAATACCAAACTCCAAGGCAAATTCAAAAGAGGGATCGAGTTCCATAAACTGACAAAATCAAACGCTATCATTCGAGTCAATCAACAAAACAAATGAAAAACAACTACCATATTCCTGACTTGGTACAGGCGTTTTCTGAAGAAAATGGTGGGTTGACCCTGGTTTTATAGCTAGCTCAACCTCCCACTAATGTATGACAGTTGTTTATAGTTTATAGTAACACCTACACCTATATATCCACTGACCTATTAATTTATAGATGTCACTTTAGACATGTTAGATGTTCAAGTTACTGACTATAAATTGCTACATGATTTATTTATTTGATTGTAGGTTGTCAAATCCCTGAGTGCTGATCAAAGTACACCAAAATCTTCTGACACTGATGTACACACACAAAATGTAAACAAAGACTGTATCCATAGTGATGACCTTGACAACAGACTTGTTGATCAGATCAAAGATAAGGTGGAATGTAAAGAAGGTCAAGGAGATGAAGAAGAGAATTGTAATGAAGATTTGGTCCTCAGCCATCAGGAAGTTATGATAAAAGTCCAGAGTACATTGTCTGATATAATAACGGTAAGTAACAATGCCAACATTTAAATAACCAAAAGGCACATAAAGGTTAACGTACAGCATTATGTAATAAAGTTTCCATTGAATGTACAAAACTAAGATTTTAAGAAACAGGTTTCTATCTTTTGCTATGAAATTAGAGAGGCGAAAGATACAAAAGGGATATTCAAAGTCATGAGTTGAAACCAAGCTAACAATGCAATGGCAAAAATCAAAAAAAGATGAAAAAACAAACAACAGTACATAAAACACAACACAGAATACTTAAGTCTGAGCAACATAAACCCTACCAAAAACTGGGGTGATATCAGGTGCTCCGGAAAGGTAAGCAGATCCTGCTCCACATGTGGCACCTGCCATGTTGCTCATGTAAGTATAAACCCGGTCCGGTGACAAGTATAATTCGGTAGGTCACACTAGGGAAAAAGAGGAAAGGGTTGTGGTTACAACAGTTGGAAAATATTTGTTGCATCTGTGAAAGGATGACAATCCAAATATGATTTGTTTTGTGAATCACCCACAGTATCCAGCATTCACTGTGAAAAGTCATCACAAGCATTCACTGTGAAAAGTCTTCCACCAGCATTCACTGTGAAAAGTCATCACGAAGAATAAATTTTTATTTTGTTTTGAAAGAAGTCAAAATATTATTTATCAGATTTGCAGCTTTAACTTTCATGTTTCTTTTTGTCGACCTGTAAAGAAAAAAGGGGATTGATTGATTGTTTGATTTTTGGTGTTTAAGGCCACTTTCAACACTCATGGCTATATCATGGTGGCTAGGTTTTATTGTTGGCGGAAGCTGGAGTAATCAGAGAGAACCACAGACCTTCTGCAGGAGAACTTGCAATCCTAGTCTATTAAGACGGGAGTAGTACACACCTTGCCTGGATAAAAAAGGACCTTCATTGAAGTTCATACATTAAGGGGTTATAATAAACAATATCTTTGTTGTGCAAAACAGTATTTTCTGCAGTTTAGAAACAAAAATGAATTACTATCACTGACTACGAACTTTTTTAAACATAGTCTTACATTAAATATAAAATTTAACAGCAATATTTAAAGTTAATTGTTTGAATGAATCATATATGAAAATGAAATAACTGTTTTTATTATACTTTATGTCAAAATGCCAGATTTTGATTGGTAAATACGAGGGAGCAAATACTCTATTACCCTTCACGGAGACAATTGATCAAGTGTGTGCTTTATTAAATACGGATGGTTGCTATGTACAAGACATCATAGTTTATTACTTTGAATTTGAAATTTGATAGACAGTAATAACAGAACATTCAGTATAATAAATTAAATAACACATATCTGAGAGGGTGATAGAGTAGATTGTTACCCCTCAAAAAGGCATTGTCAACCTTGGCTTCACCTCAGTTGACAATGTTTTCTCGGGGTAACAATCTGCTCTATCACCCTCTCAGCTATGTGTTATTTATATACTAGTGTACTCACCTTCTACCAAAAAAAAAAAAAAAACAACAACAAAAACAAACCTATTATGGCCTTATATCCTAATATACTTTCTTGGTGTTTTAGGCAGATCCACTGTTGTATGACCTGCCGCCACAGGTGACGTTAGAAGAAATTAATTCCTACATTGCCTTAGAATATGGACAGGCCATGATTGTCAATGTCAGAAGAGCAGATGATGAAGTTTTACGTGAGTTACTAAATATTACAGTAACATGTAGTTTTGTTGCAAATTACTTTTGAAACTTTATTCCTGTCTATGTTTGACTGTGAATTTATTATAATTTGTAGTATTGTTATATTTATCTTTTTAATACTGGTTAATGAAATCAGAAGAGCGTGTACTGGCTGGTCATTATTATGTATGATACCATTTTGACACCCCTACATAGCTATTGAATATTCAAGACTTTCATACTTTATAGATAAGAACAGCAGGTGAAGCCAAAAACTGGAAGTTGGAGATTTGTAGTGTAAATGTATATATGTAGTTTATAGAATAGTAAATAAGAACAGAAATATAGTTATTAATTATTATAATCCAAGCGAGTAAAACACAGATCTGTTAGTATATTGATTTTCATTTATTTTATCAATTATATGTGAACCATAAATCTAAAGTGTTCCTCAAAATACATATTTCTTATAGGATTGTCTCCATAATTTGTCAAAACCACCAAATATAGTCATGATAGTATCCCTAAAAAGAAGTTTATCCTCAATCCATATGAAATAAGGAGATGTAGTAATGATTGCCAATGAGACAACTGTGACCATTTCAGACATTTTATTTATACCAAAAAAATTGAATTTTTGGATTAATAAAATGATGTGATCCTGAATTACTATCCTAGTCTATTCAAAGTGACAAATGAAAAAAAAGAAGATAAATAAACGTTTTTCATAGATATGTTTTTTGTTTAATTAAATATGCAATGTTTTATTTTAAGATAAAAAAAAACACAATAAATGTAGTTTTTACCCCTCAGCACTTACAAGATTTAAAATTTCTTTTGTAGCCATTGTTGTTACCCAGAATGCAACTGTGTTAGATTTGAAGCATGCCATCAAGCGATATGTCAACCTGAAACAAGAAAGAGCCAATGGAAAATTACATTTGAGCTGGTACAGTTAATTATGAGTTTAACATGAAAAATTCAAATTAGGAGTAGTCTCTGCATGTGCAAACAAGACCATCAAACTGTAGTGCTTAAGATTGCTATATGTATGAAATATGTGTCTTCATCTACACAATTTTGATGTTCATATATATGTTATGCTAGCTTTTCCCTGATTTCCCATGTTGATTTATTTTATAAAATCTCTCACATTTGAGGAGGTGTTTTGACATTTTTATGCTTGTGATAGTACCTTTGGAAGTTTATCTAATTTTAAAATCAGTTTTATTCCCATGGAGGAATTTTGAAGTTAAAAATCTTTCCAAGAATATCATATCGCACAAAAATGGGAAAGAGCTCATATTTGATGAAAAGATTGACTATTCAGTAAACCCACAAAAGGGAGGCAATTCAATTTAATAAGACCCATAAATGGGAGACAACTCAGTTTTTAGGAACAGAGTTGATTGATTGATTATTGGTTGCTTAACATGAACAGAGTTGAAATGTGATAAAAAAACTGCATAGACTTTACATTAATAAGATATTGTTTATGTAAAATATTCATTGTGTTTGTACAGGATTTAACAGTTTCTTCAAGATTTTTAGTATTGACTTTGATGGAAATTAATATTTAGTTCAAATTTGGGCTACTGTTAATTAAATTACCTTGAATTTGAATTTCGTAGCTCAACAAATAGCTATGAAAACTATACCATGATATTAAACTGGTGTGAATCTTTTCATTGTTGCAGTAATTTCTAATAAAGCTTTTTTGTTATGTTATTACAACTTTTGATGCAACATTTTTTTTCAATGAACTAACATCACTGTTTTGCTATAAACATGATAAAGGCATTAGAAAGTGAGAATTATAGAAGGGTTAATTTCAAAATGTTCAAAGAAAAAGTTGAGACTAACAGCTATATTTAAGATTCAATAATATAGGTCTATATTATACAGAAAGGTTTTATCCTAATAGAACAATGAGATTGTGAGTTAGCCCCCTTCTCATGGCAGGTGGGCTCTACTCTAATCTTAATTGATTAGGATTGCCAGTTTTCATGCCAAAAGGTCAGTGGTTCTCACATGGGAACTCTTATGTCCTCTACCTTGCACCCATTTTATAGCCAAGAGTGATGAAAGTGACCTTAAACACCAACAATAAATCCTTATACAAATATATATGTAGACTATACTCAATATAATTTGCAGCATCTGCTCATACACTTTGTGCTTCACTTGTATTAACCTCTAAGTAATTAAAAAGTATCTTTGATTACAATCAATTTTCAACTGTAATCATTTCACCTACAGGTTCAAATTCTCATTCAATTTTGTAAGATTTGATGTGACTTGTTACCTCATTGTGTCAAAGTCGAAGGGACCGGAAAAAGTATTTGACTTATCCGAGGTTCGACTCATTCAAGGTCGAGTGTGTGTCGTCATAAATTTGAAATGCATGAAATACAGTTTGAGATTTGTGTAAACTAGATACTATGAACTGTGTGCCTTTTTTCGATATGACACTTTATGATTGTGTATTCAATCTCCATTTTTGGTCCTTCATATTAATTTAACACAAAAGTACAGATACAAATCATCCGCAAATAAAATAGTCTACCCTTATATTTACAAAGGCCAGTCACTATAAATTATGAAATCATTTGCAGAACGAAATAAGTTCTGAAAGGTCTCTGTTGAGATCGTCTGCTTTACATTAACATGATTAAATTATCATGAATTTATCATAATTGTCTTCAACCTTTTATTTATTGTAATTAATGAGTTTTAATTCTAATGATTCATTTAATTTTGGCTTGGGTTATTTAAATTCGTTTCGTTTTTATCTCATGTGAAATATGTTCAACACACTAAAGTTCCGCTTGAATGATCAACAAAGGTGTTGATTACCGGTCAAGATAAACATGTCATTTTAACTGTTATACAAACAAGTATGTTTACTCAGCTTTAATCTCTTTTGAAAATGATTAGGTTACATAAGAAATGCATCCGATTTGAATTTTACATCGACGAGACTATAAAATTTACTTGACTTAAACGAGTATTCGAATCAACCGAGTTCGACTCATCAGAGGTAATTATGCATTGATCAAACGGGAATATTACCGGGACCAAGAAATTATTTCAACTCATCCAAGTTTTCGACACAACCGAGTTCGACACAACGAGGTTCGACTGTAATGTATTGCTATTTATATATCTAGGATAAATGTTTGGTATTTTATTTTTTTCAAATAGAAATTAAGCTATTAAGTTTGGTAACTAAGAAGCAATCATGATTACTATGGTGGCATATTTCTGACTTTGCAACTTAAATATCTGACAACTCAAACTATACATATTAATTATGTATCTGCAACAATCAACTTGCATATCAGATAGAAATTAGTAAAATTACCTAACTTAAACATTTAAGTTGACTTGAAAGATATTGAAGCAATATGCCAAATATTAAGTTTACATTCAAATATTTTAGGTTTTTTGTCAGATATTAAAGTCCGAACATGTCAAATATTTATTAAAAGTCTGCATGTCAAATATTTATTAAAGGTTTGCATGTCAAATATTTACGTTGACATGTCAAATATATAAGATGACATGTCAGATATTTAGGTCTACATGTCAGACAATTACATGTATCGGACAGAAATATGCCACTCTAGATTACTATTTAGGTTTCCGCTGTTATAAGTTATCTGAAAGTAATAAATAATCATTCATTTGGTTGAACTATTTTGTGACTTCACTAAGTATTGAAATTTATAATTTTAGGAGATATATATGGAAACGTTTTTGGCTATACTTTGATGGAGAGAAACTCACAGATGACAAAAAATTACTTAAAGAGTAAGTACTGCTGTTTTGTAACACTTACCTCTGATGATCAATTATCTATATAGAAAGGTAAAGATATTTTATTTTTAAAAAATGGAGATAATAAAGGCTTGATGGATACCCTGTCACGTTCGGTCTGTATTTATGTATGAAGTTTTCTGCTTTGTGTTGATCTGATGAGTTAAGTTTTTTATGTGCCTGTCCCAAGTCTGGAGCCTGTAGTTCATTGGTTGTCGTTGATTCATGTCTGTCTTATTTGTTTTTAAAAAATTTTGCGACGTATATTGATATCACGTCATGGTCTGAAGACATTTGGTTTCTGGATAATAACTATAGTATTAGTAAATAGAAATCTATGAAATTTAAACATAAGGTTTATAACCACAAAAGGAAAGTTGGGATTGATTTTGGGGGTTATGGTCCAAACAGTTTAGGAATAAGGGGCCAAAAAGGGGCCCAAATAAGCATTTTTCTAGTTTTATGACAATAACTTGTGGAACAGTGTATGGATCTCTCTGAAATTATACCACAAGTTTCCATACCACAAAGGGATGGTTAGAATTGGCTTTGGGGGGTTATGGCTCAAACCGTTTAGGAATTAGGGGCAAAAAAGTGAGAAAAAACAAGGGTGTCCTGGTTAATGGACAATTACTTAAGTACAAATTACAGTGTAAGGGAGGTAATTCAAAAACAACTTTGAATTACCTCCCTTACACCGCTTTTAAAGAATTTTTGTATTATTTTGAGATGATTAGCTGTCAATTCATTTTTAAAAGTTACTATTTTAATAATATTAAAAATGCTGATTAAGGTAAATTAATTTTAGGTATGATTATGTATGTCATTTTCTATTTTTAGACTTTTATGATGTATTAAAAAGGGTTATTATGGTTGCAAACTCTATTGGAAATATGAATTGAAATTATGACCATGACTGAGGGACAGAATTCTTTTTTGGAAAAGGGGGAGTTAAAAAAAATGGAGGGGGGGGGGGGGGTAAAAAAAAATTGGTGGTGGGGGGTAGGGGGACAATTTTTTCAGAAATCAAAAAGAAAATCCTTCCAATTTTTTTTTTTTTGAAAAAAGGGGGTGTGAAGGTCAATTCGCAACAGGATAGTGTATTGCACAAAACACAAAAGCAAAAAATTGAATATAATTCAAGTTCTTCGACTACAGTTGTTCTGTGTCAGAAACCTATTATGTGTCAAATACTGAATTACAATCCCAATTCAGACCTGTATCAAGCGTGAACATTGTGTCCATTTTTGCCCAAACTCTTCAGGGTTGGACCTCTGCGGTCTGCTCAGCGAACAAATTTATTCGTTAATTGTTTTGTTATAGATAAGGCCGTTAATTTTCTCAATTGAATTGTTTCGTATTTTTTCATGTCGGGGCCTTTCATAGCTGACTAAACGCTATGGGTTTTTCGGTTGTCTATAATTGATTTTATCCACTTTATTGGAACTTGGTGAATAGTTGTCTCATTGGCAATTTTACCTCATCTCCTTATTTTCATATTGAAGTATTAAGTTTTAATTATGTGGAGTTTGCATCAATGTGACAGTAATCCAACAATCCAAATTGCAAAGAGGTTCATAAAAAGTCTTGAACAATATACTATGGTCATATCAAGAGGTCAATAAACAACAATTGTTATCATACAATTTTAATTTTACTACAAAGCAGTTAGAATGCTGTATTGGAATAATTTGATAAAACTGTGTATCTTTTTGGTACATTTGTAATATTAGAAATGTTTTATTACAGATATGGTATAAGAAATAAAGAAGAAGTTACCTTCGTCAAACGACTGAAAGAAAAAGGGAAACACAGAAGATGAACTGCTAGTGTGTTTTGACTTACATCTATGAACAGACATAAAGAGCGAAAAAAGAAGGTGCTGTTCTGGTGAACAAGCTGGAGATATTAAGAAAGCAATAAAATGAGAAGAATACACTCTGCAAACAAATAGATGGAAGAATATACTTAACTTACTCTTGGGTGATACTTCCATGTATTGAGAGAAATTCACATTTTCATGGGATCTTGAAGTATTGCTTAGAATTTGATGATGTGGCTAAAGAATTGTGTTATATTTGATTGTTGTACTTTTATTTGATAAATGTTAATAGTATGTTGATATAAATAAATCACCTGTAAATTATTTACATATTGTTAATTTATAAAGTAAAATGATTTTGTATGTCTGCAATGTTTTTTTTGCAGATGTGTTTTATGAATTTTGTTTTGGCCTGTTAGGTTTTTAAAGAGTGACATGTCCTTTTATCTTTGAATTATTATCAGTGATGTGTCATGCAATAGAAGTTCCTCCATAATATAAGTAACAAGTAGAAGAAATATTAGGTAATATTATTTCCACTGAAACAAATATTATAGTATTTGTTCCCTACAGAATAAAAGCTATAGAATGTTTGTTTGAACAGGAACAAATATTATGACATTGGTTATAACACAGTTTCCAGGGGAACTCTGTTAGATGGAACACATATACATTGACAGATAAAAGGAGAAGTGGCAAACAATGCAATAAGACAGAAAACCAATTACACAAAAACTCACAGAGAGAGGCATCTATTGATCGATACCCAGTCATAAAAAGTATTGAATGAATACAGCATGTCAAACTTTAAATAAAAAAGAATTAGCTGTCAATTTCATGTTCATCGATTTGACCCACATTTTGATATTTTATTTATAATACTAAAACTATATTACAAAAAATCCAAAAGAAACAATAAACAATGCATGGGCTCCCCATAATGAATCAAAGTGTTTATACTTACAAGCACATAAAGATCTTTGAGATAGTTATTTGTTGTTCTATATTTTTTTAACGGACAAGGTGATATTCGCCTTACTTCGAATGTAGTTTTTAAGTGCCCCCTTGATAACTTCTCAATTTTTAACGATATGATATTGTTTGTAAATATATGACCTTAATTAGGATTACTGAAATTAAAATCTTCATTTTAAGTTTTTTTTGCAGTCGAATGTATAAATGAAATATTTCAGGTGAAAAGGAATTTGGGATAGATTTGACATGAAAATTACAAAATGACAATTTTGTCGGGTTTTCGTGTTCCTTATGTAGTATGTTGAGGACTGCATGTCTTTTCTTCTACTTTGCTTGGACTAAATGTTGTCTTTCATTTTTCGACAAAAGGTTTATGATATGTATTTTTACATGGTACTTCCATTCAAAACATTTCTATTTTGTTAAGGACAATTATAATGAAAACTACATAGTTTTGCTATCTTTGTGAATGACAAAAAAAAAACATATTGCAAAAAAACACAAGTCTTTACTATTAGCAAACTTAAGGTGTTTTTGTTATATACAAAAGCAATGTTGATTATTCGGTTTTTTCCATTTTGGCTTTTTTAATGTGTCTTTAATAATCGATCAAATCTTTCAACTGTAATCAATAGTCTAGGTGATTTTCCTGTCGTCATACTGGATTTAATGTTACGTCATTATAAAATAAGGCGATGTGAACAAATACTGGTTGCCTCACATACTTCAACAATGAGAAAATAGGGTTACGAAACATTAATCTATTTAAAAGAGAAAAAATAATCATCCTTATGTATAAAACAATAATATACGAAACGCAATTATATCAGGTACATGTATTAATGATGACCTCTGAATTACAGACTTCGGTCTTGGGACAAACCCATAAAGAACAGTTTGTGAGCGTTTAACCGGTCCCCTTCTATGGGAGGTGTAGAACCACATTTAAAAAAAAATCAGTTGTGAAGGGCGCGGCTCGTAAGACTTCTACCAAGCACAAAACACATAATGAAAAAACACTTGGTAACAGTCTAAGAGTATCAACAAGTACTAAAATTTAGTTTACTTCTGTTAAGCGGAACAGATGTGTAGCATTTGATTTGTGTGTTCCACGGAATATCCACCGGGATATCCCTAATTGACCGATGTACAGTCAGATGGTAATTATTACTTTTAAAATTCAGATACTTTTAAAAAATTCAAATCATGTACTGTAAATATTTTCAACTGTTAAAAGACACCCGCTACTACTGAATCAATTCCTATTATTTCTACTTTTAAACATAAAAAAGGAAAGAAGAGCACATGTAAGATATTTGATATGTTAATCACTTCGGCAGATTTCACTAGTTTATCATTTCTACTTGTAAACATAAAAAGGAAAGAAGAGCACATGTAAGACATGTGATATGTTAATTACTTCGACAGATTGCACTAGTATATCATTTCTACTTGTAAACATAAAAAAGGAAAGAAGAACATATGTAAGACATGTGATATGTTAATCACTTCGACAGATTGCACCAGTAACTTAACAGGGAAAACTTATTATAAAAACTCTTTTGAGCCTCTGGGCTGCTCCACGGACAATGTCGTATACAAAATTGTAGGTACTTTGTGTGGGCTACTTGATGTTGGTGAAACTCGGCAAACTTTGCGTAAAAGGATGAATCAACACCGGTCTGGTAATAAAGATTCACAATTCAGGGTTCTTTTATAACCATTTTAATCCAGCGGATAACGATACTTCTTTATCTATGAAAGTACGCATCATCGAGAAAATTTATCACCACACCAATAGCCCTATACTAAGTACTCCTTTCCGAAAAGATAGAGAAAATTTCTGAATAAGGGAACTAGGTACTGCAATGCCATATGGTTGCAATGATAACATCAAAGGAGTAGGAAATTTGTCAAGTCCAGCCTGCAGTGATGTAAATGTAATGAGTTTATTTAATACTACCTTAAGACCCAGTGTAGTCATGGGCAAAAACATTACCATCGGCTCAATGTTAAAGAGTCTTCCAAATCTAGATCGCCCTCTGGGAGCTTTGATGACCTTCTTTCACATCTTCATCCTCGGGAGCGTCTTTTTACCACAGAACACCACAGAATACCACAGAACACCACAGAATACCACAGAACACCCAAAATTTACCACAGAACTTCGAAATATTAATACTTCAGACATTATTATCATGTTATTGTTCATTCTTTTAATAATTTGACATTTATTATTCAAATAAATTTAATTTTTCTATTTAGGGTCGACTCACTATCGCTACGCCCCCAACTAAATGGCCAATAATTGGGATCATACCGAAAACCCCTAGCTATTAAAACCATAATATACAAAGATTATTTATATTTGTGACATTTATATTTTAAATACATTTTAATCTTTTTTGTAATTTTTAATTCATTTTTGAATATACGTAATTATTTGTTAAATTTATTTTGTTTTATCGGTTTTTTTTTTCACTATTTTTTATTTTTATGTTAAGAGTTGTTACAATAAATAATAAAAATGGTTAATGTGACATTTAATTAAAGTTGTTGTCAACAAATAATTAAACTTTATAAAAGTGATTAAAGGAGTTTGTTAAGCTGATATCTAGAGTTGTTTCAAACAATTATTTAAACTTGACTAATGTTTCTACATCAAAGTTTTCTCCTTTAGAGTTATATATAAAACAATCCTGTGTTAAGGGCTACAAATACTTTCAAAAAGATATCTGAACTTGTTGTAGGACAGTTATATTTGAGTTGACTAATAACATATTATAAGTGTGTCTTTTAAATTATCAAAAAGTTCAAGTTCGATGACTGTTTTTGGATTCTTATGTTGTGTGTGTATATCTTCTCTAATCATTTGACAATATTTCGGATTTTTACCAAATTTTGTATGCATTTAGAAATCGTTGAACTGAAACTTTATATCGAAAAAACTTGTATATGTAGCATTTACATATAGATTCTATATTTTTGAGTCCCAAATAAATGTTGACCATAGCAAGTTCACCGACACAATTTTTAAAAGTACCAAAATTTAATTAGATTAGCCAATTTTGACACTTGTCGTAATCACCAATCAAGCCAATTAACATGTCATTTAAGATTTCACACCTGAGACATCAAATTACATTTAATTGAATTACCTTATATAATCAGGTGGCAACTAGAATCCAAACAATGAAGAATATTGTAAATATTCCATTATTAATGATAAATATTATATTAAATAGAATGTTGATAGCAGTCTTCCTGTTCTCTAATCATTGTCAAGTAATTTCAAGAATACAATTTTTATAATAATAAAAATTCAAGATTAAAATGTGAGCCGATGTTCAACATCATTTTAGTTGAAAAATTATATTTATTGTCTTATAGGTTTATTCATTTCACAGAAAAAATAGTTACATATGAGAAATATTAACTCTTTCTGCCAATCAAGCCAATATTATTCATAGCGTGATTCGCGCCGGTAAAATCCGTCAGGTCAACTTTTTTTGTAGAAAAACATTTTTTTTTCTATAAAGGTTATATTTTCATATAAAATATTCATTAATCTCGCAGATTTCTTAATTTAATGAAAAAATGTTTAAAAAGAAAAAGCAAAATTAGCACTTTCTGTCGATCAGATCAATATTATTCGTAGCGTAATATTCGCTGGTAAAATCCGTCAGATCAACTTTTTTTGTAGAAAAACATGTTTTATTTATATAAAGTTTTTATTGGTAAACAACATATTTAATAAACTCGCAGATTTCTTAATTTCACGGAAAAATATTGTAAAACAAAAGAGATATTGACACTTTTTATCGATCAGTTCAATATATTCAAAGCAAATATTGATCAGCGACTGTGAAAACCGTGCGGTAAATGTTTTTTGCTCAAAACTATTTTTTTAAATGTTTATTTTAGATTTTCATTATTACAATGCATTAGTTTAGTGTCTCAAAGGTCTCCAAATGTAAAAAAAATATGCCAAAAAACTAAAAAATTATATCTCATCCAGTCAATCGTCATGTCATTGGTGTAACCCGAATTAAAGAAATAATATAATACTGAATTATTAGATTTGCGTTTTATAAAGTAAGTTTAATGTTCTGTGGTATATTTCAGTAGTTTCATTGTATTTTGTGTAGTTCTGTGGTATATTTTGAGTGTTCTGTGGTATTCTGTGGTGTTCTGTGGTATTCTGTGGTGTTCTGTGGTAAAAAGACGCTCCGTCATCCTCCGCTAGGGTTACATTTCATTAGAACTATTCTTTTTTCACTGCCTGTTAATTTTCTTAAATGTTTAAGAGATTATGCATTTGACAAGGGTTGCATTTTTGCCAATATACAGACT